TTGGATTTACATTACAGGTAAAATAATTCACACCTTTGGAAGAAGCCAGAATCTGACTTCAATCCGAGGTGAAAACACATTGTGGTGTGGAATACGCGCAAAGATAAGTGATTTTTTAGTTTTTTTTTCTAAATAGTTGAATATTTGTTGCATTACTGTGGTTTAAAATTTTAAATCTGTTTCATAGAATTATTTCTGCCGAGTGGCAGAAACAATTAAGATAGTGGCGTCCGGCAAGGTTAGGGTAGAAATAAGCTGTCAGGTGTTCTCACTTCATTTGAGATTTGGTGGGCTAGCATAGTCACTGTCACTGATTTCTTTTAGCTGCTATCTGCTTTGCATGTCCACCAGCTGTTCTTTAACTGTCTACTGCTGAAAAGGTATATTTATTTCTTACCTTGACCAGGGGTGAAACTTTAGGTAAAGGGGCCAGTAGAGGATGTAGAAGAGAGAGAGTACGTTCCAAATCATTTCCTCGCACCCAATCCTCGGTTCAACAGGAGGTTATTCACCTTGACAGCCGCCCCATAGCTCTTATTTATGCTCGGAGAATACTGATTTTACAAGCCTACTCTCCTCAGGCAGGTTGTTCCAAAGTCGAGGGGTCCTGATGGCAAAAGCACGGTCACCTTTAGTTTTCAGCCTTGACTTTGGAACAGCCAGAAGGGCCCCACCTGAGTACCTACGCCTGCTGGGGTCATTCTGTTTAAGTTGAAGGGAATTTGAATACATTTGCTGAAATTACAGATATTAGAAAAGCTGAAATTAATTTGAAATTGCTGAAAATACAGATATGGGAGAAGCTGCATGGAATTTCAATAGATTTGCTGAAAAAGCAGAAATGAAAACAGCTGAAATATATGTGAAAAGCTGAAATTATTTTAAAGAACTGCTGAAAATACAGGAAGTGGGGAAGCTGTATGTCAATAGAATTTCTAAAAAATACAGAAGTTGCTGGAGCCTAAATGAATTAAAAAAAATACAAAAATAACAAAAATTGAGATGAATAAAAATAGGTTTTAAATTGTTTGTAGTAATTTTAGTAGTAGTATTAGTTATAGTTGTAATTGTGGTATTAGTAGTACAAGCAGTTAGTAGTCGGTTTAGTATCAATAGCAGTAGAAACAGCTGGAATACTAATAGCCATAGTAGGATTTGTAATAACATTAGTAGTAGTTGTAGTATTATTAGCAGTAGAAATACAGTTACAGTTATACAATCAGTTGTAGTACTAGAAGTACTAGTAATAGTCGTAGAGGTTGTAGTAGTATTTGAAAGAGCAATACGTATTTCAACGAAACGCTTCATTCTAAGCTTCATGGTTGAGGTACAGATAATCATTGAGGCTTTTATTTTCAAATGATGGAATTGGGTGAGGGGGGGTTGGGAGTGTAGATAGAGGGAGGGAGGGTGAGAGGGTGAGTAAGGGAGGGGTGGTGAGGAAGAGGGAGAGGGGAGGAGAATTAGACAGACAGACTGACTGAGTGATTAACAGTGAGAAGAGGTCATGGTGGAAGGGGGGCGAGTGTCTTCATCATGTTGGTCTGTTGACAGAAAGCATAGCTGCGTCATGTGACTCCACTAATCAGGTAATAGGAGCAGCTGTGAGTCACAGACAGAGATACTGCAGCGTGTGTGTGAGTATCCACGGCAACGGCGCACCTGGGTTCATTAACGAGCTGCTGAAATGGCAGAGACAGGACAGCGAGTTACACAGAATCCACACCTCAAACAAGTGTCCACTAGCGCAAAACTACAACAGCTATCTAAAAAATAAGAAGTTTCTGCGAGACCCAAGACTCTACCGAACGTATGAATGGGATTTTTATGTCTGGCCGGTAATAAATACGGCTCCTGTCGCAGTTTACAAAACGTGTACCTTCTGGATTTTTTGAGAAATATGTCGGCAGATTTGTATTCGAGCCTATGGGGCTTTTGGCAGAGGTTGTGTCACTTTAACACTCCTTAAGCCAAAACTAAAGAACTCTGGGATTGCATGAACACATTAATCCAATCAGCACAACCATGGCATCATTAATCCAAAGAAATCATAGTGTATACTTTGGCTCTGAGGACAAGTTCCATATTTTTTTTAACCAGATTCTGACGCTGCCCCACACTCTAGCCCTCGAGGTCTCACTCTAAGAGACGCAATACACACTCATGTGAAACATAATCAGTGATTATGAAAAAAGTAAAATAGATATCAACAAGCAGTTTTTTTTATAAAATGGTTGAGACTTGTGTCTGTAGCTGAAAAGATTGGCGAAGCTGAAGAATCTGAAATTTGAAGAAGTTTAAGAGGATTTGAAAAACGATCTCCATTGGAAAACCATGTTAAAATATGAATGATTATTGATTCATATAAATTCAAGCTTAAGAGGTAGAAAGTTGAAAAGTCATAGCAGGGAAGCCAGAAAGGAGTTGAATATTTTAATATTTGAACGGTTTTAATAGCTGAAAGTGTGAAGGAGTTGAAAGGTGCCGCAGAAGAAATAGAAGAAGAAGAAATAAAGATTCAAAGAACAATACTTGGAATGCTTAATGCATTCCAACAATAATACTTTAGTTTTATATATTTTTATGAAAAATATTTTATTATTATTATTTTTAAAACAGGACAGAAGAATTTTTGTGAGTTGTGGTTTGAAGCTTGATTGTGAATTGAATAGCACTCCTCTCTGGCCGTGGACCTTATGTTAACAGAGAGGCGGACAGGATCATCATTGCGAGTGGATTTTGGCAACTGAATAACAGGATTTCTGATTTTGAGTTGTCACAGTGTTGCATGTTTCGAGATTGCAATGCAATGCTACTCACAGCCAATGAAATATCTAAATTCCAATACGCGTCGCAGCTGGAGTGAGACACACACAGCCAGGAGAGACTGAACGAGAGGCGTGTAAGAAAACCGCATTGGTCAGAGGAGTTGTTTCACACGGCGCGCTCCAAAACAAACAGTGCACAATGTGATCAGCTTTTAACCAAGTTAAAGCTGTAGTGCAGCCCGCCATCCATTTTTAATTGGCCCTTATCAAAGTCTAAAAATATTGTAACGGACTGAGATGTTCCGTGAGCGAGGATTCACATTTACTGAGTTCATAAGGTCAGTCAAGGGCTCACGATGTGATGTCAATCATCTTAGTGCAGCCTATGGGAATGTGTTGTTGTGATGTTTGGGGGTGGGTTGGAGTAACTGTAACTTGTTGGGAGTTCTGGCGATTAAAATGGTTGGTCTGCTTTCCTGGTTCATAATAAAACCCTAAGAAGAACGCATGTCCAGAGCTTCATTAGCGAGAGGCGCTACAATATAATAGACTATTTCCACTGTATTGCACTTTTTAGTTGAACACCGCTGTTAAAACATAAACAACATAATTCAGGCATGAGGGCTTTACCACAGAGAATGAGATCATGAAACTTCAAGGTGGCGCATTTCCCCATGCTGACCGCAATCAAATGCACACGTTCAAATGCCAAGCTCTCTGCTAAAATGGGAGAATATTTGTCTGTGATCACATCTCTCATAAAAGAATTCAGTCAGTGCTTACAAGATTTTTCAGTTACTGAGAAGGAAATCACACTATTTTCAAGCAGAAGAAGTGGAGAAGAGTCTGCATCTGGAACTTAGAACTTTAGAATCAGTGTGATGATTCTCTCCCTACCAGACTTCTACCCAACTTGGAAAAGGCACAGTTTCTGTGACATTCTCTCTGTTAAGGCTGAACAAAAGCGGAGAAGCAGAATAACCAACAGCATCTCCGTGACGTCCTTTGCATCTCAAACACCAAACTTACACCTGCCAGCTGTCCTTCGGACCAAAGCGCAGCATCACTGCTCCCACTGAGCGCAGCATTCTTCCCATTACATGGAAGTTAAAAATATACAGTTTTCATTTGTCAATAAGCCCAATTACTTAATAAATTCAGTCAATTAAAGTTGATGACAATTTTTAAACACGTTAGTTGATGTGTTACATTACATTACATTACATTACATGTCATTTAGCTGACGCTTTTATCCAAAGCGACGTACAATAAGTGCATTCAACCATAGGGTACAAACTCAGGAGAACAAGAAACAAGAAAGTGCAATTTCCTCAGATAAGCCCAATAATTTGTGTTAATCCCAATAATTTATTTGTATAATAAGCTTGAAATATCCACATCCCCTATTTCTCTTCTTGTCTCTCATACAGGACAATGAAGGGGTATCAGCACCATAAGAACCCATCTGAGGCTCACTGAGAGAATGACCTGCCAACCATTTTGTAAAAAATAAAATAAATCTACTAATGGAGAGAGCTTAATGTAATTTAACGTAATTTATTGATTTTCCCAATAATAGTGCATTTGAAGTGAGGCAGTATACCTCACGTCTAGTGAATGGCCCAGTCCTATTTTTCTGTATGTGGCCCCCGGGAAAAAAATGTTGACACCCCTGCTGTAGTGCATCTGTGGTTTCTCTTTCTTTATCCCACCTCTCCTAGCTGTGAACAGACTTTAAGGCTGCTAGCTGTTACCCAGCATGCCGTTAGGAGGTCTAAATTTGTAAATGTGCGATAAGGGTTACAAATGGATGTGTGCCATGATGTTTCACACTGTTAAATGTTGGGTTATTCATTTTCTCTTACAAAGTTCTATGGGGTCAGTCTCAATAATTGAAAATGCACACAGAAAAATTACAGATATAAATATAACTCTTGCATTTGTGAGATGTATTTGTTTGCGGATCGCACTTCATTTGTTGCACTGCCAGCAATACAGCGACGCAACTTGCGATGCAACGGGTCAGAGGTCAGCAAACAATGGCGTCTGGTAGTGACGCCGCTCCGTTTTGTTGTAAGGTTTGCTCCAATCCGCACTTTGTCCGAGCACAGACTCACAACTCCGTTAGTATGGCTCTTGTAACTTGAGTAGTCTAATCATTTTTGACTAGATAAGTTCAAGCATGATTGGCAAGACCCGTTTCTCTTCATCTTCTACCTTTCTATCTTCCAGGTTGCAGTATGATGAGCACCATGCACCCCTTCCTTTGCATCACTCTACTGTTCCTGCATAAACTCCTTCCTCTCCTATTGGACCACTGAAGAGACTTCAACCAAAATTATGCCGACATGCAACGCTCTTACTACACCAAAAAAAAGCAAAACAAGTCAGTGCCCACCAGGGGAGCAAAGGTCACATTAAGACAATGTATGCTGTTTAAACAAAAGGGAGTGCAAGCAATGCAAAAAGGTCGGAGGTCGACACAAGAGACAAAAATCGAATGAGATTAATGCTTCTCTGACTTGAAACAGAGATGGAAGTTTAGAGACTGTCAACCGAGCAAAGGGTGGGAAGGGTGATGCACTTACAGTGAATAACAGGACCATCACTACTGATCCGCAGTCCAGTGTGGCCACTTGAATCGCGGCCTTTAGGCTACTCAGCACCTGCTTCATGCATGGCCCTCCTCAAATATTCCACACTCACATTTATTTTACAGCATTTCCATTCACTTGACAGCCAACATTTCAAAAGGGGGGAGTCCTTCAGAATTTTATTCATTCTATGGAAAACACATGTCCTTGATTTTCTTTGGAAGGTCACGACTTGATCAACATATTTTTCTGCAGCTGTGTGAAGCGTTTCCATCATACAGAAGTACCATTCATCCAGTGTGTTAGTCTGGCGTATGCCATAGCCATCCCTCTCCTAAACACAAACAACTTCTGTTCTCATAGCTGTGTTCTATAATGTAAACGAGTTGATATATTTTGATTAAGATATGGCATATCTTACCATTGTTGTTGATCACCTCCAATAATGTTTATTTTTATTAAATATGTGGTGATGAAAGTGAGACTCTTGTTTATCTATGTTTAAATCCAAGCAGAAGAAAAACCCATCTGTGCTTCAACACACACACACACACACACACACACACACACACACACACACACACACACACTCATCATTCACCCATTCACACACTGATGACAGAAACGACCATAAAAGTGCAAGTTGTCTATTAGTACTGACATCCAAGCACCAATGTCTCCAATTGACTAGGCCGCCAGCAGACTCATAATCAAATCATATTTTTCAACACTTCCCAGCGGATAAGGAAGGGTCTTCTCGGAGCAGGGACTTTCCAGGTCACCGACTCGAGGGGTGATGGTGAATTTAGGCTCCTGCCATCTCGCTGTAGGGTGCTTAAAGATCACCAACCTAGAGTTGGCAGCCGCGCTCTGTACGGAGGAAACCTGCTCAGCATAGAAAATAGAAAATATGTGGATGGGTGGATGTTGACTTGTAGCCTAGTTAAAATGCTTGGAGTTGTCAGCAAGAAACCAGATAAACTCAAGTCTATTTATTAAGTAATACTAACTCCACAAAGTGTGACCCATTCATATGTCTGTAGCCTGCAGTCCTTTTCTATTACAACTTCATCCAATCCTTCACACCTGCTGAATTTCAACATGTCTACACCATAAACTATTGTTCAGAAGTGGACCTGGTCACCGCAATGTCAGCCATTAGTTTGGGGATAGTAGTTTGCATGTTGGTCCGCGCCATCCTCTTTTATTGCCACTAAACCGGAAGACCATATTTGAACTGAATACCTTACAACGCCAGCCCCTCTCCCGAGGAAACCAATTTCGCCCGCTTGTACCTATGACCTACTTCGTTCGGTCCATGGTCTCCACAATTAAGGAGTCCTTTTTCCACCAGCATTTTAGCAACTCTCCCCAAGCATGCCAGTGGCTACAACTTACAGCAGCTAATGGACTTAGTATTCCATATGTGGGTGTGGTGGCGGGCGTGGTTTGGCTCGGCTGCAGGGCGGGACTGAGAAGGGAGTGGTTCAGGGAACGGTGTCGGGGGAGGCAATGGGCCTCAGCTGATATTAATCAGTGTTTGTATTCTGCCTGTTAAGTAGGAGAGATCCGGCGACAGCGAGAGAGCGAGGCGAGGAGCCTGGAGCCGGCGGCGTTTTTGGTGTGAAACGATAATTAAAAACATTTATAATGGACCCGACTGCCTCATGCTCGTCATTCCAAGACCCCCCCAGAGGACCAACCTGCTACAGTGGGGTATGTAGAGCTTGATGTGTTTTTAATGGGTACCGTTATTCCCAAAAGGGGGATTCTAGTGGTCAAGGATCCTCCTGGGCCCTCACCCGAGACTGACATTCCTGGTGTTTTAGGCAAGAATGTAATACGTGAATGTTATGCAGAGTTGTTTGGGCAATATGTCTCATCCATGTTTGATGTTCCACTTGAAAGAGGCCCCGGAGGCATGGAAGAAAGCTCTCCAAAAGTGTCACGAGGCCCGGGCCAGACCAGCAACATGCGCCGGTGGAGTTGCTAGGGTGAGGGGGAAACATCCAGTCTACATTCCAGGGGGGGACAGTTAAATTGGTGACTGCAACCTGTTCACAGAAATGTTTTCTATCTTCTCTGGCTTTATTTGAACCTTTTCCCAACCCTGAAGCCCTCCCTAGAGGTTTGTTAGTATCTCTTGCTGTGCTCACAGTGCATCATGGTACTGCTTACATCCCAGTTGTGAATGTTGGTAAAACTGATGCAAACCTTTACCCCCGCTGTGCCCTAGGGACACTAATTCAGGCCCAGGTAGTGAGTTTACCCACAGACATCAGCGAGGTCCCCATGAAACCATCAGGATTGGGTACCCTGGCCACCATGAGTTCTCAGACAGGGCAGGTGTGGAACACCTCTGACATACTAGCTTCCCTTGATCTTACCAATGTTCCAGAGGCAGAGCAGGCTAAGATACGGTCCATGTTTGAGAAACATGCGTTTTTTTTCCACATTTGAAGGAGATCTGGAATGAGCTAATCTTATAGAGCATACAATTCCATTTCTAGATGAGGTGCCTGTGCGACAGAGGTTTAGAAGAATCCCCCCATCAGATTATGAGTTGGTTTAAGCCTATATTAACCAGCTCTTAGAGACCCAGGTAATCCAAGAAAGTTGCAGCCCATACGCGTCCCCCATAGTCCTTGTCAGAAAGAAGGATGGAAGCCTACGGATGTGTGTGGATTGTCGTCAACTCAACAGCAAGACGCGCAGGGATGTCTTTCCCCTACCTCGGATAGAGGAGTCTCTCGATGCCCTGGCAGGTGCACGTTGGTTCTCAACTATGGACCTGGCAAGTGGCTATAACCAGGTACCGTTAGCCAAGAAAGATAGGGCAAAAACAGCCTTTTGCACACCTTTCGGCCTGTTCGAGTATAATCGCATGCCCTTCGGCCTCTGTAATGCGCCTGGAACATTTCAGAGGTTGATGGAACGGATCTTTGGTGCACAGCATTTTCAGACATTGTTACTGTACCTGCACGTACATGACGCACGTGATTGTCTTCTCCTTCACAGTAGATGAGCACCTGAAGCGTCTCGATGCAGTGCTGTCTCGCCTGCAACAGGAGAAACTGAAAGTAAAGTTAGAAAAATGCTGCTTCTTTTGCAGGTAAACTGTCTTGGTCATGTGATTACAAAAGATGGCGTGGCCACAGACCCGGGAAAAATATCAGCCGTGGCGAATTGGGCCAGACCAATAAATGCAACGGAGTTGAGGTCATTTTTAGGCTTTTGTAGCTACTATCGACGTTTTGTGGAGGGGTTTGCTAAGATTGCGGCCCCCCTACATCACTTTGTGGCTGACATGACAGACGCTCTTCTCTTCCCAGGGCTTCTCGTCCTACCTCGACGGCCGCACCTACGGGGTAACCTGGAGAGGAGCTCTGTCGGAACCTGTCCTCTTACTACTGGAGTTCCTCAGGGTTCCGTCCTGGGTCCCCTCTTGTTCTCGCTCTAGACCAACTCTCTCGGCGCTGTCATTTGCTCGCATGGCTTCTCCTACCACAGCTATGCTGATGACACCCAACTAATGGGTATCATCGTAGAGGCACGGATCTCTGACTGTCTGACTGACATCTCTCAGTGGATATCCGCTCACCATCTGAAAATCAACCCCGACAAGACTGAACTACTTCTCTTTTCGGGAAAAGATTCTCTGACCCAGGACTTGACTTGACGACTTGAATACGTCCTTCTCACTCAGAAGGCAGCGCTGGTACTGATTCAGGCTCTTGTCATCTCCCGCCTGGACTACTTTAAATCTCAGGTCTCCCTGCTACTGACCTCATTCGACCTCTGCAGCTCATCCAGAATGCAGCAGCTCGACTGGTCTTTAACCTTCTACAGTATGACCAACACTACTCATTACATTACAGGTCATTGAGCTGACGCTTTTATCCAAAGCGACTTAAATTACATTTTTAACCCATGGCTTTTTACATTTTTGCCCGGGGAACAATTAGGGGTTAAGTGTCTTGCTCGGGGACACTTCGACATGGGGCAGCTGGGACTCGAACCACAAGGACAGCTGGCGGTGTTGCTCACCAGAGTGCTCTCTGTCACTGATGAGCTAGATCTTTTGGCGGGGCTCGGCAGGTGGCAGCATAATGGCCCGGTATAGGCAGAGTCTTAGTTCCATCCGTCGCTGGCCTTCTGAGGGAGATAGGCGAGCTTGACCCAGCTGCATGAGTTCTTCAGAGGGAGGTGGGGGTGGCAGAGGGCCTGACAAGAGCTACTGCCTCATGTAGAGAGGCTGCCTCATGTTCCATGTCGAAGTGTCCCTGAGCAAGACGCCTAACCCCTAATTGCTCCTCGGGCAAAAGTGTGAAAAAGCCATGGGTTTAAAGTGTAATGTAAGTCGCTTTGGATAAAAGCGTCTGCTAAATGACATGTAATGTAATGTAATGTAACAAGACTCCAAGATGGGGAGGCAAGTAGCTCCGACAGCTACACACTCACCTGTGACATGTTAAAATACATTCTGCTGCCTGCTTAAGAGGATTGGCGTTACACCAGTATGGCGGTACAGGATAAAAACATACCGGAAGGAAATCTTATACTGATATACGGGACAGCCGTAACTGACCCCAACAATTTCCTCTGAACACCTTATTCTCGGCCGAAATGGGTTTCCTCAGGAGAGTGGGTGGCGTCTCCCTTAGGGGAAGGGTAAGAAGCTCAGCCATTCGCGAGGAGCTCGGAGTAGAGCCGCTGCTCCTTTGCGTCGAAAGGAGCCAGTTGAGGTGGTTTGGGCATCTGGTGAGGATGCCCCCTGGGCGCCTCCCTAGGGAGGTGTTCCAGGCACGGCCAGCTGGGAAGAGGCCCCGGGGAAGACCCAGGACTAGGTGGAGAGATTATATCTCTGCACTGGCCTGGGAACGCCTTGGGATCCCCAGTCAGAGCTGGTAGATGTGGCCCGGGAAAGGGAAGTTTGGGGTCCCCTGCTGGAGCTGTTGCCCCCGCAACCCGACCCCGGATAAGCGGTTGAAAATGGATGGATGGACCTTATTCTCTCTTGTAGTCTGTTAATATTTCTGTTTCAAATGTTTGCTTTTATACAGCAAAATCCTCCTCCTGCTGAGCAGCTGTTTCTATCATTAAAAAAATGCAATGTCAGCTGTCGAAAGTGAAAGGAAAACCTAGACCGAGACAATGGTAAAGATACATCTCACAATCGAATAGAGGAACCCAGTGGCATCGAATGCTCCAAAAGGAATCACAAGAATATTGTTAGTATTTTTATAAACAGTGCTATACACAAAGAATAAGGACGGATGAACATTGTAGACAGTGATGCAGAGATAGAATGAGAAAGAGACAGTGAGATAGTTTAAGCACAAAGGCCAATGCCATAGTGAACATCTGGCAGGGAAGTTTTTGGTGAGCTGAAGCTGACATGTCTGACAGGCCTTGCAGGTTATGCACAAATCTGATTGGATTCCAGGTTAAACAGGGTCAGATGGGATCAGATGGGGGATGG